GAGCGGAGGGGTGAGGGAATGGCCACTTCCACCTCGCGGCACAGCACGGACCTGCTGGGCGCTATCATGCTGTCCACCCAGGCCTCGGGGGCAGCAGCGGGGGCGAAGCAGAGCAGCAGGCTGCCGGGTGCCTCCCGGCCCATGGACAGCACGGTGGGGGAGAGGAGGTTGAGGCTCACTAACCGCTCCCCCCACAGCCAGGCATCATCCAGGTGGGGGTCAATGGCAGAGCCCCGCTCAGGGCAGTAGTCCAGGTTGCACTGCTCCACTGGCCGGAAGCCCTCGAGTCCAGGGTAGAGGCCCATCCTCCGCACCAACTCCCGGCTGAAGCTGGGGAGGCCTCGGAAGCCTGCCATCTTCAGCTTCCGTTTCCGAAAGTTGACTTTAGGGCCGTAGTCCTAAAGGATGGGAACAAAAGGAGGTGGAGAGATCTCTGAGTTCACAGAAACATCTGTCACAGACCAGGTCTGAAGAAGTCAGTCATGGTGACCGGGACAAACAACAGTCCCTCCCTGCCTTGATGGGTTGGAATGTCCCAGCAGGGGGTGGCGGACACCAAGGAGACAGAGTGAACAGCCAGCAGCTGGTGGAGGATGCTGAGAGAAGGTGCGATGTGTGGGGGTGTCTTAGCCCAGGGGCCCCAGGGAGCAGAGCTAGAGACAGGTCGTATATTCTGGGATGTGAGGATCCCAAGGAGTGAAGGTCTGGGGAGGGGAAGCGCATGGGAGGGAAGGCCGGCCAAGGCAGCGTTAGCGAGCTGGTCAGCGCAGAGGCCCCCCATCCCAGCAGGGCCTCCCATCCCAGCAGAACCCCAGGAGGAAGACAGGTACCACCTGACCCCGCAGTTTCACGCCTCACAAAACACCCAAGACAACTGGGCCTGTGTTCACAAACTTGCACACGAATGTTCATCGCGCCATTAGGTACGCAAAGTGGAAACGGCCGAAGTGTCTCATCTGGTGAAGGGTCAGATATATTTATATATATGCACTATATAAACCTAAAGGAGGTATCCAGCCAGACCAGGAGCGAAGTGCAGTCGAGTGCCGTGTTTGCTCTCAGGCGCCAGCAGACTGCAGATCTGGCGGCAGTCCCCTAAGCTTCTAACGGGCTATACCACCTAGGTTTGTGTGGGCCACTGGTGTGCACAACAGCAACTCCTAAGGACACGTTTCTCAGAGCATCCTCCTGCGGTAAAGTGGCACATGACTGCTCACGCATGCTACAATGTGGTGAACCTTGGAAACATTACACAGTGAGAAGCTGCCACAAAGGGTCCTGTGTCCCCCAGGTCCGTGTATACAGAATGTCCAGAAAAGGCAAGTCCACATTCAGGCAGTGGATCAGTGGCTGCCAAGGGTTGGGGGAGTGGGGTGTGAGGCCTAGTGGGCACAGGATGTCCTCTTGAATGAGGAAAATGTCCTGGAAGTGGACAGTGGCATGGCTGCACTACGCTAGGGACATACTAAAGGCAAACCGGGGCCATCAGTAAGTGGGTGGGTTTGACAGTACATGGCTTGTATTGTAGTCCACGGGCAGTAGGGGAGAGCCTTCGGGATGCAGAAGGAGCTTAGCACCGGCTCCTGCCCCGGGGCCTGCCTTGGTGGAAGGTGACTCCATCAGGTGTCAACACCTTCATCCTTCCAGGTTGCACCTGCCTCAATACCTGAGCCAGGGGACTCCTGTAGGCCGCCCCGGGCAGCAGCAGGCAGAAAGCCTGAGATGCCAGTGCAGCAGGGGGGAGGAAGGGAAGCTGGGTATTTAGGGAACAGCAAGGAGGCGGTGTGACTGCCGTAGGGGCCTGTGGGGGAGCAGTGGAAAGCGGGGGTGGGCTGGCAGCCATGGTCATGCAAGGCCTTCCAGGTCTTCGTGAGGACTTGGGGTTCTGCTGGGATGGGAGGCCCTGGTGATGGGGTGCCATGCTCAGATTGGGAATGTATTCTGAAGGAAGGGCTGGCAGGAATGACCAAGGGCAGACTGGAAGGACAGCATGAGCCACAGAGACCTGGGAGACTCCCCAATGTCCATCCTGGGTAGTGGAAGATAGAGCGTGCAGAGATGGGGCCACTGCTGGGGGTGCAGCTCGGTTTAAGATCTAGGAGAGAGAAGCCTGGGCTGGATCAGAGCCGTGACACTCTGAAATCCCCCAGGGAGAGCACAGATCAGAGAGAAGAGGCCCAGGACGGGGCCTGCAGAGGGCAGGAGGGGAGGAATGATCCTGAGATGAGCATGAGTGGCCATGAGGGAGAACCTGAAGGGGGATGGGTTCTGGAAGTCCAGCAAAGAGCACATCAGAGGACAGAGCCTGGTGCTGCATGCAGGACCAGCCGAGACTGGCCGCTGGGTGGAGGCTGCAGAGGTCAATAGTGGAAGCAGTTCCTGAGCAGGCTGGGGGAGTGAAGGTAGTGGGACAAGACAGCTCTTTGAAGACTTCTGACACCAGGCGAGAGCTGGTGGAAGAGACACGGAGAGACTGGCAGACCTGGCAGGACAGGAGGGGAGTTACTGGGAAGTGAGAGGACAGGGTCCAGCATGTAGGGAGGCCAAGCAAGAGTGAGCAGTCAGCACAGGGCAGGGCCTGCAGCAGAGAGAGGAGGAGGGGAAGGAGGGAGTGGCAGAGGAGGGGAGGGTCCACATGACACTCCAAGCAGGAGGGGACTTGCCAGCAGGCTGAGGGTCACCAGGACTGTGGTTTAGTCAAGAGTGCAACGGGGTGGGACCAACAGCGTAATGGCTATGTCGCTGGACTCCCACGTAGTCGACCGGGGTTCAAGTCCCGGACCCAGTGGCTTAAACTCACACCAGGCGCGTGTGTGTGCATGCGTGCCTAAGATCCCGAGAGGAGAATGGTGGAGAAGGGATTGCGGCATGGCCATTCCCCCCCTGGGGGGTGATTTCTTGCTTTCTATCTCTCTGTCTCTGTCTGTCTGGCGAGCGCATGTGCCCTATAGCAAAAATTTTGGTAGCTTGCTTTCTCTCTCTCTCTCTCTCTCTCTCTCTCTCTCTCACACTCTGTCCCTCTCTGGTCAAATTTTAAATAAGTAAATAAATAAAATAAAGTTAAATAAAATAATTTTTTAAGGAATTATTTAATTAATTTATTATTATTATTTCACATGAGTTTTGCCAGAGAAAGAGAGAGAGAGAGAGAAGGAAAATGAGAAAGCAAGCCACCAGGTCCAGGACTCGAATCGTGGTCGGCCATGTGGGAATTCCAGCGTCTTAACCAAGACGCCACCTGCTGGCCCAATAAAAGAATTATTTAAAAAAAATAAAAAAGAGTGCAACGGTGGAGGGGGGTGGGAGGGAGCACTTGAGAAGTGACTGCAGTGACTGGCCACCTCTTACAGAGGATAAATAAGGAAAGGGAGGGCTGAGTGAAGTGAGAAGGCCCTGGCGGGAGCTGGAGACAACGCAGGGAAGAGGCGAGCTGGACGGACAGATGCACAGGACTGAGGACGAAGGACGCCATGGACCCCAGTGAGGGTGTAAGTAGAATGAGACGGTGAACATTGATTGGGAGACAATGGGGAGCTGCAGGTACCTGGCAGCTTCTGGCAGCCGTGGAGGTCTGGGATCGCATCTAGAACCCCTACCATGCCAGCTGCACAGACCAGCAGGAGGGTGAGCACACACATGCCTGTGCCCTGCCCCAACACACCCCTCAGTGACCCAGGCCATGCAGGGGTGCCTGGAATGTGGCTGCAGAGGCAGCCCTAGCAATGTACCTGTCCCCTCTGCCTAGCATGACCCACACCCCACATCAGGCCAGCAAACCTGCTTCCTCCGTCCAGACTGCGATAGCTTCCAGGGGTCGAGGTCCATCAGACGCACCATCTCAGCCTCTTCCTCCGGCGTCACAAAGTCCTCTATCAGCATCACTCCCGGGAAGGGGAAGGCCCAGCCCTCAAAGTCAGACTCCTCGGCCCCCACGGCCCAGCCAGTGTCCGAGCAGTAAACGAAACGGTGCGTTTTCTGCAAAAGAAAGAGGGGTCCTAGAGCCATTGCAGCCCTTCCTCACCTGGCAGCCCAAGTGTGTCTTCTGTCCTCCCTAGCCTAGGACCGAAGGAGAGCTGCGTGACAGCGCCTTGGCCAGGGTGTGAGAAACATGCTGTTTGAACGGTCCCCCAGGCCGTCCTACAGCTGCACCTGTCTGGGGACTCAGCCTGGTGGGGAACTCACTGCTGGAATCTCCCCTCAGAAGAGAACAGCCGAGCCAGTCCCCCTCCAGGAGCGTGGTCCTTCTGCACCTGCCTCGGCGTGGGCAGGCCCAGCCAATGACCTAGTGTGGGCCTGGTCATTTCTACCCAGCATGGGACTTCTCTAACAGCCAACTTCACTCTGGTGCTTCGGGTTGGGGTGGCCATGATGGTCAGACCTACATGGCAGTCTTGGGACTCCCTGCCCAATTAATTCTGCTTCCTCTCTTATGTCTCACTCCCATGTACCACCCCCACACCTACACCCTGTCTCAGTGTCTGCTTCCAGGAGGACCCACACTGCCCCAGCTGCCTCCCTTCCCTGAATCAGTGCACCCCCAATCTCTTTAGGTCTTCACTGCCTTCAGTCAGTTTCCCAGGGCTGGGTCATGGCTGTCACCTCTGGGAGGGCCAGCTGAGTGAGCACCCCTCCAATAGGCCTTCTGCCCACCCTGTCCTCCTTCCTGTCCTCCCCAAGCCATGGTGCAGCCGTTCTGGGGCCTCTCTCTAGGTGTGGGGTTCACCTCCCTCCCCAGTAGGATTGGGATCCTTCCTCGGCCCCCACCACTGGGGGCAGCAGGTCTACCTCAATGCTCAGAGTGTGACAGTCCCAGCCCACTCCCAGACCTTGCTGAGCAGGCACAACTGGAGCGCCTCCACATGCCCATCTCGCTCTTGTCCTCACGCCTTCCCTCCTTCTCAGAAGGACATGTCCTCCTCTCCTCCCCGCCCAGAGCAATTCCTTCCCGGGCTGTCACCTCCTCCCCCTCTTGTGTGTGTCCTGGTCCGCCTCCATCTTAAAACCTGGCAATACTCTTAGGTGTCCCCACTTCAAAGAAAGTCAGTGAACCATCCTGGCCTTGTCTCCTCCCAAGCCTTGGCTCCGCTTCCTCCCCCTTACCCTTTCTGTACCTGCAGCCTCCCAGCTCCACCTCTCCCAGGGCCCCTGCCTGTGGTCTCTTTTCTGTTTTCTGTGCAGGCAACCTCAACACAAGTCAGACTGCCAATGACTTCGTCCCAGAACTCTGCCTTGGCTCCCAGCAATACCCCCTCCTCTGGCTTTCTTCATTAGTGAGTTAACGAAACAGCTCATGTTTGCTTCCGAGGGACTAAACGTTCTATGTGAATTGTCCAGATGACTCCAACAGCCCTAGGAGAGGTACCACGACTGGCCCTGCATGTGAAATGGAAGCACAGACATGTGGAGGTTCTGACCAGAGCCACCCACAGGACCTCAGAGGCCACGAGAACTCAGCCCTGGCCTCTGTGGACTCGCTCTTCGTTGCTCCCACCTCTGGGGTCCCACTACAGACCCTCATTATTCTCCATTGTTCTCTGTTCTCTTCAGGGCTCCCTCTCCTAAAGCTTCCCTCCCAGCCCAGACACCTCCAAGCTTTGAGCTCCCATCTCCTCCGTCTCCCAGGCCCTGCGCCCAAGACACTAGAGCCGTGGGGAGTCACCCGGGACTTGCTCTCCTGTCCCAAAGCTGTCGGGTTGCAAAGGTATCCTGTGTCTCTGCGCCCGTGGCCACTGGCACAGTTCAGACCTTACATACTTTTTTTTTTTTTTAGAGACAATGAGAAGGAAAGTGAGAAATCACCCCCAGGGTATGGCCATGCTGCACGCCTTTCTCCTCCTGGGATTTGGGGCATGCACACACATGTGCCCAGCATGATTTTCAAGCTGCCAGGTTCAGGACTGGCTGTGGGAGTCTAGCACCTTAACCACCACGTCACCTGCTGACCCCAGACCTTCATCACTTTTAGAAAATGTTTAAACTGTGGTAAAAGATACATAATATAAAAGTCACAGTCTTAGCCATTTTCAGGTGTACAGTTCAGTGACTTTTAAATACAGGCACACTGCTGTGTAGCCCTCATCATCATCATCTCCAGAGTTTTTCATCTTTCCAAACTGAAACTCTACCCACTAAGCAATAGCTCCCCACCCCTCCTCCCTCCAGCCCCTGGCAGCCACCATTCTACTCCACCACTATGGACTGGATCAGTCTAAGTACCTCATATAAGTGGAGTCTCACAGTTCTGGTCTGTGACTGGCTTATTTCACCTAGCATCATGTCCTGAATGTTCATCCACATTGCAGCATGTGTCAGGATGTCCTTTTTTTTTTTTTTTTTTTTAGGGTTTT